AACACACTAAATAGCAATAGATGGGGTGAAATTTGTTCCAATCCTCTAAATGCTTCCTAAAATATTCTTACGTTTTTGACAAGTAGGTCCTGACCACCCTGCAGCACAACCTCCACCACACTCACCAGTTTCTTTATCACATTGTTCATCATTAATACAGTGACAGGTATAACTATTATCAACTCCAAATTTAACACCTGTACAATATACATGTAATAGACGTAATACTATGTCCTTTACGTTCTCTTACCATGTTGTATGAAGACCTTATGTTGGATATACATGGTTTTTGGGATAAAGAGGTCTTGGAACAACAAAATTTTATAAAATTGCAATTTTTAAGCCAATAATGAAGAGATGTTATGTTGTCAACTGGCACTTAATATAATAATGGGGATATATACGGTAAGATAGTGCGTTTTTGAAAATATTCATCGGCACGATTACGTCTCATGCGCATAATTTGATTTATTTAATTAATATTACGTATTTTCCAAAACTAACCGACTGAAGATGATTTTATATCCGAACCAAGTGCTCATAGCAAGTGACAGGCTCAATTCAATATATATATATATATGAAGGAGGAAGTCAGTCAAATAAAAAGAAAATATTGTCATTTAATAGGCAAGAGATATAGTCATATAAAGACATAATATATACTTGGGAATGAAAATGAAATAAATGGAGTTTTACGTCCTACTGTTGTGCACCTTATCGGCCAATGAAGACAGTTATATACTTACATTGGATGTAGATAATAATACAAAATATTACAGATATCCACTTCCACATTGTGATAAACTAAACATTAAAAAAATGTATTACGTTTTTTCGATTTTCAGATCTTCTCTATTATTGGCTTATGAATAAACCGTGTAGTGTGTTATTGATTAAATTTTTGGTTAAGCAACAATAGCGTCATATTTTTTAAATTTTTCTTATGGCACAGTTTGAGCACACTTTGAACACACCCCCATTTAAACTACTAGAAGCTTCCTAAATATTACATCAGCTCCTCCAATCTTGATATCTCGGAAGATATTTCCCAAAATCTTAGGTTTGTAAGCTGGCGGCCCATTCACTTATTTACTCCCAGTTACAAAACAATTGAAGACTAGGTTGGGTCCTTACAAAATAATTATAAACTTGACCGTGAAGTGAAGTGTTACTCTTATCAAAATACAATTCAAATAGCGATAGATTCAGTATTAATATCTGAAATTTAAGTTATATTTGGAGATAAAGTGTTATACAATATTGATCAGGCCTTTAGAGCGGCTGCATCTTCACCG